GATGGTAAATACACAATGAGATTGCCATTCAAATCAGAACCGCTTATTGACATCGGATCTTCGAGAAATTTCGCGGTAGCTTCTCTTTATAAATTAGAGAAACGACTTGCCCGTGATTCGGAACAAGCCTCTGCGTATCACGCCTTTCTCGAAGAGTATGTAAAATTAGGGCACATGCGTGAAGTCATTGAAGCGGGGACGACTTCGCATCAAACTGTGTATCTCTCGCATCATCCGGTTATTCGCCAAGAAAGTAGCACGACGCGCTTGAGAGTGGTTTTTAATACATCTATGCCTACGTCAAACGGGTCTACTCTAAATATTCATCTACTTGTCGGTCCAAAATTGCAAGCCAACATTATGGCAATTATTTCACGGTGGCGTTCGCATCATTCTGTTTTCGCGGCCGATATCGCGAAAATGTTTCGCCAAATTTGGCTCGATTCACGTGACACCACGTATCAACGAATCGTCTGGCGTCCTAACTCAGACGAAGCTTTGAAAACGTACGAGTTACTTACCGTCACTTATGGTACGGCGCTAGCTCCTTTTCTCGCGAATCGAGTCGTCAAGCAGCTCGCGTTGGACGAAGGAACTAATTTCCCTCTGGCTGTTCCAATTTTGAACGACTGTATTTACGTAGGCGATGCACTTCTCGGGGCCGATGACCGCATACTGGCGCTCCAATTACGTCAGCAAGTGACGAAATTCCTATAAAACCGCAGTTTCCATCTAAGAAAATGGGCAAGTAATTGTCCGCAATTATTAACAGGCATTCCTGATAATGAACACCAGCTGGCCTCTAGTCGCTCATTTCAAGATTCTGAAGCATTAAATATACTTGGCCTTCTTTGGCAACCTAACACGGACGAATTCCGGTTCAAATTTAAAATAGATCTCGTGAGTACGGCGAATCCTACCAAGCAAGTCATCTTATCCACTGTAGCAAAAATAATTGATCCATTGGGTTGGATTGCTCCAGTCGTAATAGTAGCTAAGATATTTATTCAGAATCTGTGGGTGGCCAGACTTGACTGGGACGACCCGTTACCCCTGGAGTTGACCAAACAATAGAGTGAATATTCGGCAGAATTTAGCGAGCTACCAAATGTTACCATACTGCGATGGGTCGCGATAGGAAATGCTTCCCTGAGGTGCGAAATTCATGGCTTCGCAGATGCCTCTCAGGACGCGTACGCAGCTATAATTTATTTACGCGTAATCAACATCGCGGATGAGACCACGGTATATTTATTAATCGTGAAGACTAGAATAGCTCCATTAACCCTTGTGTGCACAACCAACTTTACCAACGTTGTTACACAACCGGGGAACCCGGGTATCCACCTCTCTTTATTTCAAATTTTTAAATATTCCTCCAAATGAAATCATTCTCTTAACATTTATTTGAATAAATGAAGATGTATGATGCGTATCCGAGGCGATTTCAAATGAATAGACCTCTTCACAGCTTGTACAAAGGTAGGAGAAAGCAGGATCATAAAGGTCGACGCATGGCTCCGAATAAGTCAAAAGAAGTATACCCTACTGTGTTTGGATTCTATGAAAACATAACGCTGTGCTCATACGTACCGTAGAAAAGTAAAGCAGTAATTCTGTTATCAACAATGCATGCCGACATGGCTGTGAATAATGATGCTAAGAAACAGCCGCACATTATTACTTATTATAATAAATATAAAGCTGGCGTCGACACCATGGACCAAATGATTAGCAGATATACAACAAAACGTCGCACTCTGAGATGGCTGCTAGTTATATTTTTCAACATGTTAGACATCAGCTCTGTTGTGCCCTCAGGCGAATTTTGGGATTTCGGGTTCTGGAGCGGTTGAAGAATTTGAATTCACCGGTGTTCGAGTAACAGTCGAGGGTTTATTACCGAAAACGAGCTTCTTACAATCTGTCTGTCTTTACATTTGTTCGCTCTTTTATAATGTGTCGCGTTGCGTGCGAATGACCAAAAAAGGTCGTGCTGCCCGGCGCGTGCTCTGCTAGCTTGCAGAGTTCCGCTATCGGTATGTACTGCTGATTCGGACATTCTTTAGCCGGGCGATGGTCGTACGATGACCCATGTGCTCGTTGCCGGGCACAACAGCTCACTCGCTTCCTATTTGATATGTTATAAAAATAATAAGATGTTTCCAACAAAAACTAATAAGCGGAGGCTATTTATGCGCCAATTGAGCGAAGAACTTGCGAAGCCAATGATCGAGAATCGCAGTCAAAACCTGCAAATGATGAGACATTACAACACGAAGATTGCTCTTGAAAATGTGATCGGACGGCCAGTAAAGCCTGTGGAAGCTACTCCAGGTCCTTCAGTACAACGAGATCCATCAGTAAGAAAACAAGTTACTGGTTCTTGCCATATATGTTATAAGCAGACAATTAAGAAGAGAAGGAAAATACGAAAGGCCTGCGCCCAGTAATAAGCCTGTCTGCGATGAGCATTCATTAATATTTGTAAAATGTAAAGAATGTAATATATAAGTACTGTTTTACATTAATTTTCATGAATTTCATTATTACTTTACCTCTTCTACGTGTACGAATTAAATAAATTGATAAAAAACTAATAAGTCTATCAAAATCGAGTTTTCCTGCGAGGTGGGTACCGGGGTACCCGATTGCGTCCACGGAGTAGGTATATTTTAAATTTGATTATTGTTTAAGTTTAGATTGTTTAACTGCTATCGGGGTGACTGAAGCTTCCAGTTATTAGTTTGTAAATGGTCAGTTTATTTTACGGTCACAGAATAAAGTTGATTTAGTGTACTTGAGTGATTTTTGTATAGAGTTGCAACCCGTTCCTCTGTGTCCGCACTCCGTTGGTCTCTCTCTCTCTTTCTTTCTGTTTCGCGATCCTTTCTCTGCCGTTTCTTTCGAATAAGTAAGGTAGCACGTAGCTCGTGATAAGAAAACCAGTGGATCGAGAGAGAAAGAGCGGTGGTGGGGACAGCAGAGGGGCGAGCGCTTTACAAAGCGGTAATAGGAGAACTATTGACTGCCAGCAATTATCGGTCGATAATTCCGATTCCTAACATTCCGCCCGCCTTCGTCTACACGACGAACGACTAGTGTTGGTGAAGTCATTGAAGATGCAGTTTTAGTTCCCTGCCGGCGTTGTCGGGAATAGGCAGAGTTTGGTGACAGGTCGCTTCAGCGTCGCGAACGGTGTTCTAACCAAGACGACTCGAACCTTGTTGTCATCACCGGGGTACGTCTCGATTATTCGACCGATCGGCCATTTGGTAGGTGGAGTAGCTTCCGACGTAACCATACACAGGTCGCCCGGTTGCGCGTTAGGTTGAGGTTGAGACCATTTGGTACGAGCCTGAAGATGCTGCAGGTACTCCGCCGCCCAACGTTTCCAAAAGTGATCGCGCATCTGTTGGAGTAACTGCCAGCGTGTTAAACGTGCCGGTTTTTGGTCGATCAGCGACGGTTCAGGCACGGCTGTGAGCGGAGCTCCTACGAGAAAATGACCTGGTGTTAAAAATTCATTACAATCAGGGTCAGTTCCTAAGGGCGCCAGGGGGCGAGAGTTTAGGCACGCCTCAATTTGAGCCAGAACGGTGGACATTTCCTCAAACGTGAGCGGTGTCTCCCCCACCACTCGCCTCAAGTGAAACTTCATGGACTTCACTGCTGCCTCCCAAATACCGCCGAAATGAGGGGCGGCCGGAGGGTTGAATTTCCATGTTGTTCCGTCCAGTGCTAAGGAGCTAGCCAGTGTATTGAAATCAAATTTCGCGGCAGAGAAGAGCCGACGCAGTTCTCGATCGGCGCCAACGAAATTTGTACCTTGATCGCTGGTAAGAATGGAACACATTCCTCTGCGAGAGACAAAGCGGCGATAAGCTGCAAGAAAAGCATCAGTCGTATAATCCGATACCAGTTCTAAGTGAATTGCTCGAGTGGAAAGGCAGACAAAGACAGCGACATAGGCTTTGCGAGTGTGGTGTCCTCGTCCGGGACTAGTTTTTATGAGGAAAGGCCCAGCGTAATCGACACCGGTATTTGTGAATGGCCTAGTCGGTCGTACGCGAGTGGTGGGGAGATCAGCCATTTGCTGCTGCGTAGTTTTCGCGAGCCATCTCCAGCAAGTTATGCACGAGTGAATGTAAGTGCGTACAGAGCGTCGAGCGGCCAAAATCCAGTATCGTTGACGAAGAGATGCTAAGGTAAGTTGTACTCCGCCATGAAGAGTTTTTTCGTGAGCTTCGCGGATTAGTAGAGTTACGAAGTGACCTTTAGTTGGCAGAATAATTGGGTGTTTTTCTTGAAAATCCAGTAACGAGTGTTTTAAACGTCCGCCGACGCGAAGAAGTCCGTTGTCGTCGACGAAGGGGTTAAGTCGGACAAGAGGTCCGCGAGAGAGAGAAGCAGACTGTGCAAGAAGAGCTTTTTCCATGGAAAACGAGATTGTTTGAACGCCGCGAATTAAGGTGAGTCGTGCTTTGTGAATTTCGCGTGCACTTAGAACGTTTCGATTTTCGAACGTCGTTTTTTCGACCGCTTCCCGTTTTCGAAAGCGTAAGCACCAGCTTGCGATTTTACAAAGTTTTTGCATTGATGAATATCTGCTTATGAACTCTTCCAGAAACGAGGTACCAGAAACGATCGCGCAGGACGACCTTACCATCCGAGCTTCCTGATCCGTAACCAGATTTTTTAGAAGGTATTTATCCAGATTGTGGTTTCGTAGAGAAAGAAAAGGGGGTCCTTCCCACCAGAGTTTACATGAAGCAATTTTTTCCCCAGATATTCCGCGAGAGGCAACGTCGGGTTCTCGGCGGAACGTATGTGTCGCCAAGTTGTTTCGGGTAGCGTTGTTTGAATTTCTGAGACCCGATTGGCGACGAAGGTCTTCCATTTGGTAGGGTGCTGTTGCAGCCAGCTCAGAACAATGGAAGAGTCCGACCAAAGATGAAGAGAGCTTTTAGGTAAGTCCAGAGTAGTTTTTACAGTTTTCATTAAGCGAACCAGTAGTGTAGCTGCGCACAGCTCAAGTCGTGGCAGCGAAACTTGCTTTAGGGGAGCGACTCGCGTTTTGGCCGCAATTAGATTGACACGTAGGTCGGATTCAGGGCTTTCCGGAATTACTCGTATATAGATAACGGCTGCATAAGCCTTCTCAGAAGCGTCGGCAAACCCGTGAAGTTCATAAATATTTCCTATTTGCGTTACCGAAATCCAGCGAGGAATTCTAAGGGAGGAGAGAGCGTTCAGTCCCGCATGGAAATTTATCCAGAATGTTTGTAGTTGATCCGAAAGCGGATCATCCCAGTTTAAGTTTAAAAGCCATAATGATTGCATAAAGATTTTTGCCAGAGTGACCACCGGAGCTAAAAGACCCAAGGGATCGTAGAGACCCGCTATCTCGCTAAATACCATTCTTTTAGTGACAAATTGAGTATCTGACCGTGGCCGAGTAGAAAACAAAAAGCAGTCCGAGGCAGTGCTCCATTTCAGACCCAGAAGTGTTGAGACACTGTCGAAGTTACATGATCGGTCGGAAGAGGAGGCGACATAATCCGCTGGCAGCTTGCTTAAAAGTTCAGTATTGTTTGAGGTCCATTTCCGCAGTTTGAAGCCGCCCGCCCTCAACAACTCGATCAATTGTTGCTGAAGCTGACTGGCCTCTTCCAGATTATCTGACCCCGAAATTACGTCATCAACGTAAACGTCATTTCGGAGGCAATGAGCTGCCAGTGAATATGCCTCCTCTTCGTCCCTACTCAGTTGTTTGAGCGTGCGAATTGCAAGATATGGAGCGCACGCAGTTCCGTAAGTTACTGTTAAGAGACGATAGCTTGTTACTGGTTGATTAGCGTTGCTTCTCCAAACGATTCTCTGGTAATCACAGTCCTTCTCATCCACCCGAATTTGGCGGTACATTTTTTCAACATCTGCTGAGAAAGCTATGGCGTGCTTGCGCCATTTTAGTAGTATTGAGAAGATTTCGGGAAGAAGATTGGGACCTGTGTGAACCAAGTCGTTTAAAGAAACACCCGTTGAAGTTTTAAACGACGCGTTAAAGACTACTCTCAATTTTGTAGTTGAACTTGATTCTCGTAGCACGCCGTGATGCGGCAGATAGTAGGCTGATTTTTGTATTTTTATCGGTTCAGGGATGCGCTCCATGTGACCCAAGTCTTCGTATTCAGACAAGAAATCGCAATAGGCTTTTTGAAGATCGACATCGCGTTGAAAGCGTTTTTCAAGTTTTGAGAGGAGAGCACTTGCGGCTTCCTTGCTTTCGCCTAGTTCTGAAGACGAAGATTTAAAAGGTAAACAAACGACATACCTTCCAGATTTTTCTCGCCTATGTGTTTTTACAAAGTGATCCTCACACATTTTTTCCTCCTCGGTTAACAGATTAGATTTTGAGGGAATTTCCTCAATTTTCCAAAAGCGAGTAAGCGTCTCAACCAGATCTGATTCTCGCATGGAACACTGCAACGAGATAGCTAGATTAGTATTGTTGTTTGAGTTTGTAGAGTGCCTTAACGGCCCAGTTAAAATCCACCCAAGTGAGGTGGCTTGAGCGATTGGCGTGTTAGGTGGGCCTTGTTTTAGACCCGCTCTTATTATTTGAGCGTAGATATCCGCTCCCAAGATTAGATTAATATGCCGCGAAGAAAGAAAGTTAGGGTCGGCCAGTTCTAATCCCTCCAAATGAGCTAATGTGGAAGGACACGAAGATTTCGCCGCTTGGTAGGACGATAGTTTTGGAAGAACGTATGCCGAGAGGCGATACGATATAGTTTGGTCCACGCGAGAAAATATGCGAAGAGAGACCCTACCTTTCGTGTAAGTTTGCGTCTTTCCGACGCCAATAACCGGAATTTTATCAGGTACCCTCTTTAGATTTAGAATCTGAGCCACGCTCTCCTCCATCAAAGAAACCTCTGAGCAAGGATCGATTAAAGCTCTCACTACCACTCTCCTTCCCTGGTCGGACCCTAGCATTAGTTCCGCGGTAGCAAGTATGACCGATACAGCGGAGGTTACGGAGCAGGAAGTCATTGCGCAATGTGTAACCTTTTCAGAAATTGAAGCGGATGGCTCCTGTTGCGGATCGTCGATCGTCTCGCGATTCGAGTCTGGCACCTGTTTGGAAAGAGAAGAGCGAGCAGCAGAAGATTGTTCAAAATTATAATGAAGAGAGGTATGATGCTTACCAACGCAAACTTGGCACCGTTTAGTGGACTTACAAGCTTGTGAAGAGTGTGGAGCCAAGCAATTATAACACAGTCGCTTTTCTGTTACCAGCTGCTTCCTCTCACGCGGATTCATCCCCTTGAAGGTCGGGCAAAACAGAATGAAGTGGTCCTTTTGACAAATGAGGCACCTTCGAGATCCTTCTCCAGCGGTGTGCGTCGCGTGCGCCTTGAGACGAAGCGTGGAGTTGACGGACGTCCTCTTCCCTTGCTTCTGGGCTTCGATTGCGTTCGTAGTTGTTGCTGATGAACCGGATGCTCCTTCCACAGCTTCCAAGGCTCGCAGTTTTGAGGTGAGAAACGTCGTTAATTGTGCAAGCGTTGGAGGATCTGATGTTGATCCAATGGCTGTTTCCCATCCCATTCTTGTTTTGGAATCCAGTTTTTCGGCGGTTATGAAGACGAGCCAGTCATCCCAGTGTTGGACTGGTCGCTTCATGGCCTCCAGAGCTTGGACGGCGTCCGTTGTGCCGTTAAGCAATTCTTTCAGGTCTCGCGCCGATTCTCTTTTCATCGGAGGAAGTGCCGTTAAGGATGCCAGTTGAGAGGTAATCAGGACCCGTAAGTTTTGATAGCGTTGCGTAATTGCGTTCCAAGCCCGTTCAAAGTTGTCACCGGCTACTGGTATATGTTGCAGTAATTGAGCTGGCTCACCAGATAAGCTTATTTTCAGATAATGTAGCTTTTCAACGAGAGAGAGAGCTTCATTATTAATGATTAAAGATTGAAATAGATCGCGAAAGTTCGACCAGCTGTTGTAGTCACCGGAAAAGCTAGGCAGCGTGATTTTAGGTAAAGACCGGAGAGTTGAAGATCCATGAGATGATTCGGTCTTACCTGCGGAGTTTTCGGCTAGCTTTTCCTCCAATAGGTCCAGCAATATTGCCTTTTGTTGGACGTACGCCTCTTCACCAGCGCCCATGTAGTCCTTTTTGAAATACGGACTGTCCTTTTCGGTTGCTGCAAACGCGTCAAGGAGTTGATCGTGCGTCTCGGAAAATGTATTCCAGTTTCTTTCCAAGAGCTCCAAGCGAGATTTAACCACTCCTTTGGTTATTTTAGCCGCATCCAGCTTTTTCATATTTTCCACCGTCGATGAAATACGTTTGAACAAATCGAGCTGCTTTGTAACGAACTTCTCCATTGTTTCAGGGCAAAAAATATACACAGGTGAGCGACGAGTTTATGCCAGGTGTTTATCTCCACGCGCCCGGTCAAGGACAACCGTTAATTTTTCGCCGTTAATTGGATTAGTTTAAGCCGATTGTAATTAATTGTTGTAATTGGATTGATGTAAGGCTTCACTCACCTCGATTTTTATCCGGCTCGAAGGACCAATGTTTAAGTTTAGATTGTTTAACTGCTATCGGGGTGACTGAAGCTTCCAGTTATTAGTTTGTAAATGGTCAGTTTATTTTACGGTCACAGAATAAAGTTGATTTAGTGTACTTGAGTGATTTTTGTATAGAGTTGCAACCCGTTCCTCTGTGTCCGCACTCCGTTGGTCTCTCTCTCTCTTTCTTTCTGTTTCGCGATCCTTTCTCTGCCGTTTCTTTCGAATAAGTAAGGTAGCACGTAGCTCGTGGTAAGAAAACCAGTGGATCGAGAGAGAAAGAGCGGTGGTGGGGACAGCAGAGGGGCGAGCGCTTTACAAAGCGGTAATAGGAGAACTATTGACTGCCAGCAATTATCGGTCGATAATTCCGATTCCTAACAATTATCTTTGCGAAAATAATTTTTTTTTAATATGTACATGCACCATTGCCTTAGAATTGAATGAAATAACGACTCAATTTACTGGCATGTAAAAATGTAATGTGGTGGGCACCCGGGTACCCGGTTGTGCACACAAGGGTTAAAACCACTCACAATTCTGCGTTTAGAGTTATGTGCTTGTTTAATAATGACGCGATTAATTGATCACGTGCAAGCTACGTTAAAGCTCAGTAACTGTCCGGTGTACTGTTTGACGGATTCTACCGTATCACTGGCTTGGATACATAAACAACCTAGCGAATTAAAAACGTTCACTGCGATCGAGTCACAGAAATTCAAAATTGTGTGTCTAACGTTATTTGGCGACACGTACCTTCGGGTCATAACCCCGCTGATTGTGCCTCCCGCGGTCTATCGGTGGCGCAACTACTTCAGCGCCCCCTTTAGTGGCACGGTGCTTCTTGGTTTATACAAACTCCTAATGAGTGGCCGCAATGTAGGCCTTCGATCCCAAAGGAAATTGAAGTAGAAGCAGAAATTAAAAGCAAAATTAATGTGTTGCATGTTCAGTCGGAGACGAAATGGGATCTGCCAATGCGCACTTCGTGGCAAAAACTCTTACACATCACCGCGTGGTACCGCGAGGCGGGAGGTTTGTTCCAGATTAAGAGCGCCATGATTTGAATACAATTAGCTTTCGATAACCACCGAACCGCTCTGGCGTTGTCATCGTCTGTGACCTTATAAAAAGCGCGACGCAGCGATGAAGCGGCTTACTACTCTTTCGGATTTCTCGAAAAAACGAGTAAAATTTGTATACGCGACGAATTCGCAGACTGTACTTCGGTTGAAAGTACCTCGCAAGATATTGTTTGCCTGTACTAATTCTAGGCATTTCAGTGCGGCTATAGAAGTGATTGAACACTCCTTTTTGTTTATTCAATTAAATTACTTAAATGAAAAGTATTTGAAAATCCGTTCAGCCATGATGGCGCTCACGATCGTTCCATTTATCGATCGGGAGTCGACCATCTAGGTCAATGCGTGAGCAGGGGTCTTCTCGCCGGTTTGTGCGCAACGCCGTCAACGACGCCATTATCGATCAACAAATCGACCGTTCAACACGTGCTCACCATAGTTTGTTCAAGTGCGACTATTCACTGTTTTGGTTAAACCAGCTCATCAGATCACGATCCTCAGCAATAGTGCAAGCAACTGGATCTACAGGTTGTGATTAATTATACATTAAATTCAATGAACACGTGAAAAGCCGACCATGTGCCGCTCATGCACACGATCACGGGCATCAACACCTACAGCGGGCCGAATTTATACAATTAACGGAGCTTATTGTTCGCTGCTAGCGTTCACGTAAAGTATTGTTCAAACGCGACGGATCAAGGTAAACCGATCAATTCTGTAATTTGTATATGTATTACAACTCGCGTCGAATCATTGTAACGTTGCGAAAGTTCAAGTCGTTCATTTACAATCGTAATCGTGCCGCTCATTGTTCACGGCGTTTGTTCAATTTTATCGCGTGACTTAGATGTTCGTTTATTGTGTGACTCGAATAAATCAATTGTCGAAAACCGAACCAGCAAGTTTCTAATTATTTTCCAGCGCAATCCCGTCGGGACTAACAATAATCCCGAACAAAAAGTGATCCTGTGAACATTATTTCTTACTCCTTTCTTTCCTTTACTAAGGCTAACCGCCATTCTTGCCTAGGAACAATTTATTCTCTACGCACAAACACTTGCTGCATTAACAAAATGCGCTAAAAAGTATAAAATAATTTCTATTTCATTTATACCAATGCTCCACAGCTATTAATAAATTCTATTTAATAGTTAAATAGTATGCTAAATACACTTCAACATTTTCGGAGGCGGCGCAAAATTAAAAACCTTTCTTCTACTCGAAAGATCCTAGTTCAGGAATTGGTAACCTGTGACACGCCGGTTACCGAATGACCCATTTGATAATTTCAAGTTAACAATATTCAACGAGAAGCAACATACCCATTGCGGATTAACTACGTTTACATCAAAAGTGTTGCCAACTTCTAATACAACCGTTACAATTACAAATGTTTTCATCTGTACCTATAACGTTTCGCATTTTTTCTTACGACTTGTTAATTACCAAGTTTGCCATACCGCACTAAAATCGTTATTGGCAGCATCGTATATTCGGGTATTTTTAATATTGCGCCGCCTTCGAAAAGGTTGAAGTGTATTTAGTATACTAATATTTAACTATTAAGTAAGATTTATTAATATCTGTGGAGCGTTGGAATAAATGAAATAGAAATTATTTTATACCTTTTAGCGCATTTTGTTAATGCAGCAAGTTTTATTAATAATTTTAATACGTAGTTGTATAAACGAAATATGAATTATTTTACACTTTTTAGCACATTGTGAAGTCGGTTTCTCGGAGTTCCTCAACCCTCGCTAGGGGCGAGGGGGACCAGGTCCACTTACGGTCGGTCCAGGCTGAGCCCCAAGCGAGCGCGTTTCCAGGTGGCGAATAGGAGAGCGACCGGAGCGTGAAGCGGACCCCTGTGTACCACGGAACGGTTCACCCAAAGGCGACCGGGCTGCGGGATAAGGCGTGTCCGTGGAAGGCACCGAGCAGCGGGTCCTATAAGGGACTCCCGAGGACTAAACCCTTCGGAGGGGAACTAAGGCCCAGTCGTGGACCAGCTCCCCAAGCTAAGGTGTAAGCGATCGTGCCGAGAGCTGGATGGCACCGGGGTAATAGTGTCTCGGACGATGCCCTTGGGGTACCAGACGCCATCCCATTATATCTAGCATTACCCTCGCATAACAGGCGGACCACCCTTTCCTGCATAATCGTAGGACACATGTGGACATTTCAAAAACGGTACTAATAACTCAGGACCTTAGGCATCAACGAAGAGGAGAAGGTCTTAAACAAGGGACCTCGCTCTGCAGAGGCGGCGAATGTCGGTGTTGAGGGACCGGTCGAGGTCGACGTGGCACTAGCCGCGGCGGCTGAGGTGGGGCTCTCCCTGAGTAACGCGGCGAAGCTCCCCAGATGCGAGGGCGCAGACAACAATGTCGAGCCCACGCCTGCAGCCCAGGATAAAAGGAAGAGGGCGAACCGATGTGGGGCGGCTAAGAAGCGGGTCCGGAAAGCCAGATTGGCAACCGGGACCTTTTCGGAGACGACGCACGCGGTGTCGCACTCCCCCCAAGCAGCACCAAGGGAAGGGGTGGGCTCAGGTAATGGGCAAGTCACGGAAACTGAGCAGACTAAAGGGGTCGAGGGGGGTGCGGGGGCGGCGGGACTCAAAAGGGCCTGATCAGCGAACTATTCTCTACCAGACCAGATGGCGAAAAGCGGCAAGATCTTCCCGGACCCCACGGGGTACAGGGAGGCTCTCGGGGCCGGCAGCGAGGTGGCAATCACACCTTCAGGCTACCCCGAGGCCATCCTGAACCCGGTGCAGGGGGACCTTGTTCTGAGGGCCCTAGAAACGGAATTGGACTCGATACCGGAAGGTAAGGAAGTCCCACGCTTCGAAGGGAACAAGCAAGAGCAGGGGGTCCTATGGTAGCGAAAGTGAGGCCTTAGGAGGGCACATCTCTTCAATTATTGGAGAAATAGGGTCTACCAAGGCTTCATAAGCTAATAACAGTCATCCCTGGCCCACCGGCGAGGACAGGGACGATACTAAGTCGCCTACGAAGGCAAATTTCGGGTCTCAGTACTCAATTATGGAGGGTTTGGGACCGCAAGGAGGAAGCCAGAGCAGTGCAGCTGGTGGTTGGTATAGAAGAGGAGACTTATAAGGCCCTCAGCGGATGGGGCTTCGTGGTTCACGTCGGGCTGGGCAGAGCACCCTTTAGGGAGCCGCGTGCACGGCCCAAGGGGGGCCGGGGAGAACCAACTGCCATAGCGAGCACCGGTAAGGACGGCGGCTCAAAGCTCTCAACGACTACGGGGGAGGTGGCGATAGCGGGATCCAGGATGAGGAGCGTACACCCGCATTCACGGGGATCGAGGTGGCTGCCACTACCACGAAGTCCTTTGGGGTTGGAGGGTTGCCGGTGAGCAAAGACAAAGGGAAGGGTCTGGTCAAAACAGGGGCAGGGACCAGCGACTCAGTGGTGGAGGGCCCAAGGGCTCCCCCGACTGGAAGGGAGGTTGGGGGTCCACCCTGAGGGGACCCAGGGGAAGACCAATGAAAGCATTGGTGATAGGCTGAGTTGGGCTGGCGGAGACTCGGAGTAGGATCCAAAGGATTACCATTACGGGTAACCGCAACAGCGCGGTACACACGAAGGGGAGCAAATACTCCGATATACTCCGATGGCGCCTAGTAGTGAAGCATATAGATATGTATAAAAATACGGATATAGCCTTAATACAGGAACCTTGGGTTTACCAAGTAGG